TTGATGTAAGAATTTTTTTCAAAAATATATTGCTGGTAATATTTCTTTTCCTCAAAAATGTATAGCTAGTAATTGTTTTTTTCTTCAAAAATGTATTGCTGGAAATAATTTTTTACAAATTATTTCTGTTATTAAAACCTATTTTTACACTTTCATAGTGTTTTTACCCCAGTTTCGGGGTTAACTATTTGACCATAGCTGGGACCCTAACAGGTGCTACCACCCTCGGTCAGGTCGGACCTGGAAAAGCCGGCAATTAAGAGGTGGTTCCACGCACCTCAAAACCTCCTAATCAGAGGACTTGGTGTTGGACGTAGTTTATCGTCTTATACAGGACGCGGACGTAGTTTATCGTCTTACCCAGGACGGGAGGTAGTTTATTTTCAGACCCATGACGGGCATTGAGGATAGGAAAGTTTGGGGAATCAGTCAGTATCTTACCTACTAATCTTTTCCGAATGTATCGGTTTCCCATAGATATTCTACCTTACTGCTCAGAAGTAATAACCAAATTGATAAACTGTTTCTCACGCAGACTAGGTATACACCTAATGACAATAAGATTTACTCGATTTGTTTAACGATCTCATTAAAAAAAATAGTTATCTAGAGATTTCAATTAATTATTTTAATTTTATTCTGTACTATGATGCTCTTGTTAGAAAAAGTGGAAACAGGGCGACCAAAAACTGTGTAATTATTTTGTGTTTTACCAAGAGCTATCACGGACGTTCATGAGTTTATAGCGCCTTGCGCCACGGCACAGCATCTGGTGGCATCTTCCTTTTTACATAGTTCGTCAATGTAGGTGGTTGTTGGGACATCGTTATGTGTCCAGATCACTCGCAAATTCTTGTTTTGATCGCGTTCACGTATGATTGTAGAATTATCATGTATAATGAGCTGTGATTTAGTTGGATGTTGTCTCCAAGAAATGTTAAGTATAGTTTTCTGCATCTGAGTGTAGCTCAAGAGTGTTAGTTTAAGCTTGATAGAACCTACACTCGGATACCGGGCAAAACTAAATAAAAAGTCGAGATATCCCTAGACAGAAACAGCAAAAAAGAAATGTCTACCTTTTGAATTTAATAAAAGGTCCAGTTCGACGTTTCTCCGACTTTTATCGACCCGAAAAGTCCGGTAAAAGCCCGGAATGAAAACGGCTGAAAAGTAGTTATAACAACAAGAAAGAATATAGTATTTGTTGGTATGTAAATAATGTAAATAATGATATCAGATAAATAAATATCAAATGGCAGTCGGTAATAAATAAAAGAGAAATAATTGGAATGTTTTTCAATTTCAACTGCGGTAACAGCAGCGGTAAAATTAAATAGAAGCGGCGAGGAATGCAGCCAAGCGTGTCAGCTGCAGCAGAGGTAGTAGCAAGCAGTATAGAAGAACATTAAGTTCACACGTACATATTTTAGGTTCAATATTAAAAGAGATGATTCGTGAATTTGTTGACATCGTAAGCGTTAGTTCAATGATTGGACCAGGTTATACGGCCATAGATCATGTGGAAAGAGGACGCCCCCAAAAAGAACAATGCTAAATAAGAGCAAATCAAGATACCCAGAGACAGAGACATCAATAGAAAAACAATCTACCCTTCTACTTTAATAAAAGGTCCATTTCGACATTTCTTTGATGATTATCCGTATTAAAAAACACCGGGGAAATACCTGAAGGCACAATGGCTAAAACACTGTTATAACAACTACAAAAAAAATTCCTGGTTATTTGTTCGAATGTAAATGATAATAATTCCTTCTTACTGACGTGACGTGTCTTCCCTCTCTCGTTTGTACAGGTATTTTCATGGAAAAATTTCTGTTTTTATCACTAGCTCCACGACTACATGAATTTAAGCGTGATACTAGGTTGGCCACTAGGTCTCACAGTTGTCCTTCTGAATTAGCTAGATGCAATTGTCACTTCTATTCTAACAGTTTATTTTCTAGCACTTCTCACATGTGAAGATTCCTTCCGATTTATTGCTTTCCTCTCACTTATTGATATAATGAAATATGCATACACCTGTGTTCCCCCTCACTGGAATATGATTGGCTGGTGTCCGTCATAAATACCGACGGACGTGTACGAGAGTCAGAGAGCCTTAGTCTGAGAGCTAAGTCTATAACAACGCCCATTGGACTACGCCATTGATCTAAACTTTTTATCTGCGACTACGACGCGTACCAGTCGATTACTGCTACCGTATTCTACTTGGTTATAGTAGCCAAAACCACTTAGCTACTTCGTTCAAATATATCACTTTCCGGGATATATCACTTATATTCTTCAAAACTGTAAATGCAACGTCAATTTCCATGTTCTGTCTCCTCACTAAATTTTTCTCATTCTCTTTAATCCTTACACTTTTGTGGTGTTATAGTCTTGCTTGGCTGTGTGTGTGAGGGTATTATTGAAAAATTATCCAGACAGAAATTTATTATAGTAAATATATCCGACGTAATTCGTTTTGCATTAATTGTAGTTTGAATTTTTTTATGTGTTCGTTGGAATAGTGGAAAGCGGCTCGAATTGAAGAATCGGAGAGCCGAGTTCGAATTCTAGTCGAATCCATGACATTCACTTACGTGCTAATACCCTTGGGAAAGGTATAAATCATCTCCTCTCCTCAGCAATGGGTAAATAGTACAAACGTTCCATGGCATCGGATGGCAACTGGTCTACCGTAGAAAGAAATAGCAAACTACTACGGGAAAAAAATCTGCCTCGTTGGTCATTTATCGAAAGATACATGATCGCCTAAGCGTGTATGACATAACTGACTGACTGATCACAGGTTCTGGCTCCAGGACAAGAAATGACAGAACTAAGTGCTATCTATTCTGTTTTATACAAACTTGTGACGCAAGTCCAAATAGGGGGTTCGTTCGGGAAGTCTGGCCTTCAAACTGTTATATCTTTAACTTAGCTAGCCACAATCACTGACCCAAACATCCTGCAATATTTCTTACAGCAAAACAATACATTCACACTTGGCACATAACAGACAATCATTAATATAATTCAAAATGATATGCTTATAATGAGATTTAACGTGACGGCGTTTCGACCATTGTGCAATTCAGGCTTTTCTACCTGCCGTAATTTATAAATGTGAATTTCGGAGTGATGTCTTTGTTAGCCTGACAAATATTCCACATGAATTAATTAGGATTTGGCGTACTCTCTACTATGTGCTAATCAAAGAGACATGTTTACTAGATCCTATTAATTACGATTGAAAATAAATGAAATATTATAATTGATTGGCATCAACTCAGCACGGTCAGGATCAATTAAGAGTAATGCATTTGACGTGGGGTTAATTGGATCTTCATTTGCATTTCGCTTTGCTCTCACAATAGAGAATTAACAGTAGCAAAGTGATTTGTCGAATATTAAATCTTACTATAATTGCCAGTGATATAAATATGCTTATATACACCACTACTCACCCACCCACATACACAAATAATTATATTGTTCAAACTTTTCTATATATATATGGGGGGGGGAAAGCGCTTCCTATAAAGTATAGACTTTGTGGGGATATAAGCGATGTAGGCGTAGAATTCAACACTGCTGGATGACAGTTAACATGATTCAATCGATCACCAGGCCGCGCGTTCTAACTAAAATCTGATGTTTCTTTCAATAACACTAATAGGTAAAAATACATTAACACTGATGGGGAATACATGAATATATCAGCCATGACCTAACATATATGTAGTATTTAAAAATATATAGCATTTTTTTTAATCAATTCACCCAAAACATAGCCACTAAGACGCAAGGGACTACTGGGAGGGAAACTAAATGAAAAGATTTTAAAAGCAACCGAAAACTCGACCCTAAACAGGTTACAAGTAATAAACCTGTATTCATGTTAAAAGAAAACTGCGGAGAAGTGTCAACCGGTTGATAGGTGAACCTATCTATTCTAATAAGTAGTAAATAAAATGTCAATGTTCTGGCGGAGACTTCATAAGTATAATGATAAAGTAGACTTTAGGAGAAACTGAAAACCTGATCCTAAATAGGGTTCAAGGGATAAACCTATAATCCTATCGGATTTATCAACGGTACAAAAGTTGGCAGGGCAAAAGAGTTTAAGGGATAGTCTTGAAGATGACCGAAGGGGTCTGTGTGACCACCGAGTCAAACATTGATCGTGTTTACCACAGGCGATTGACTATAAATCAAACAGCCAATGCTATTAGCATATCCTATGAGACAGTTGAAAATATTCTGCGCAATGAACTTGGCATGATGAAGATTACTGTTCGGTGGATGCCACGTCTTATGACAACTGATAAAAGACGCGAAGGAGGATCACGGAATAATCCGACATTGTTTCAGCAGATCCTGTCGGTTTCTTTAAACTAATATGAGTGTTGGCTTCATCATTTTGATCCAGAGACAAGTGACAATCCATGTTGTGGAAACACTCTTCTCCACCTGTTCTAAAGTAGACCAAGGTCGTTTCATCTGTATGGAAAGTTGATAGCCTCAGACTTTTTGGCATGCAAAAGGAATTATTTTTATTGACTATCTTGAAAAGGGTCGGGCAGTCAGTGGAGAGCACTATGCCAACTTGCTGAGTCAGTTACGAAATGCTATCAAGACCAAACACTCATAAAACCGACAAAGGGGGTCTGGTTTCTTAAGTAAACAAGTCTTTGGTTTAAATGGCTGCTGTGTATGATTGTGGCTTTGAACTGGTTGATCAGCTCCCCATTCTCCTGAGTTGAGAAACATATATTCTTCAACATAAAGAGCACTTGACTGAAAACATGCATCACACTGATGATGACGTCATATCCGCTGTGGATGACATTTTTGACCAACAGAATGAACAGTCTTCTTGGAGAATTCAGATAATAATTTACCTGGGAGGAAACAATGCAGTAATTGATAGGAAAAGTTGAAATTAATGCATGTAAGATTTCATAACTCTAACATCACTCCTTCATCGTCAGCCTATGAAATTTTCAATCCACCATCTATCTATCTATCTATCTATCTATCTATCTATTTATCTGTTCAGCTATCTCAATCTGATCAGATATCTATCTATCCATCTCCCTCTCTCTCTCTCGCTCTCTCTCTCTCTATATATAATGAATATAATCAAATGAATAAATATAATAAATTTACGTGTAAGGTTTCACATACAAATACATACATACAGTGTAACCCGGATGTAAGAGACCCGGATATAAGAGAGATTTTATCTGGTCCCCAATTAGAGCCTGTGTTAATGTATATAAATTAGACCAAACCCGGATATAAGAGAAACCCGGATATAAGAGACTTCTTCTCCGGTCCCGACAACTCTCTTACATCCGGGTTACACTGTATAACCTCTGGTGGAGAAACAGTGCTCAATGCTAAATAACAGAGCTATTAAGAAGATTTCACTAGGCATCAAATTCCAAGTCGTTCGGTCGGCGGAGGCATTATGTATTTTTATTATATATATATATATATATATATATATATATATATATATATATATATATATATATATATATATATACGCACACATCTAACGTAGACCTGTTTAACAGGTGTAATATTGAAGGAATCGAGACTTTTATCTTACAGTCTCAGTTACGGTGGACTGTCCATGTCTTGAGAATGACTGATGACAGGATACCCAAGATCCTAATGTAGGGCTAATTAGATGAGGGCTACAGGAATGTAGGACGCCCATGGCTAAGATACAAAGACAAGCTGAAAAGCAACTTGTCAGCAGTCAATATACCACTTAACACCCTTGAGCGCGTGTTTTAGTGGACTCAGCAATTTTAAATCTGCTTGTCTGAATCATCTTCAAGAAGCGAGTGCAAGATCTAAAAGGTCAGCAAATCTAACTGATCTCGTCTCACAATTCTCACACATGTTCCATATGTGGCCTTCTTTTGTAAATCACTAGCGGGTCTTAAATGCCACTTAAGATTATCGCATAAACTTTCATAACTGAATCAATAAGCTGGCAGATGCTCATACGTCTAAACCGACGGGAGAGTCCATTATTATTACCATTATATATATATATATATATATATATATATATATATATATATATATATATATATACTGTCCAGTATCTATCTATCTATTTTCATATGTATCTAATTAGATAACTAACTACCTCTATTCATATCTAGCTAGGTAGACTGTTCATATTTTTGTTTATTTCTTTCATGGCGTCCTCTTCCGAAACACACCTTTGCGGCCACTTGCTGGCATATATGTTTAGTTAGCAGACATGTGAATGAATGAAACCCGTCATAGTAGCCGGACCATTTTAGTTTAGAGAGAAAGTAAGTGCCAGATTTGGGAACTAAGATTTGTTTAAACAAATTTTGTAAATGATAGGCAATAAAGAATCAGGAAGAAAATGATTGCCAACGATCTGAATGAAATAACTGAAAAAAAAATGTTTATTAGATTCACAAATGAAAACTCTACATATGCCCAAATGATTTTGACAAGAATTACGAACCCTGATCAAACAGGACATGACATTGAAGAACCGGTATCTAGTGCATAGGTTCCTAAGTAAGCCAGTCCTGGATTCAGAGATTGCTTTTTTGAATCTACACGCAATGTACTTGAATCAAAAAAAGTAATCTAATCCTATTTCAATCGTATTGTCATCGTAAGAGGCGGCCGATAGTTCTTCGTCGAAGAAAAGAGGAAGGGAAAAGTCGATTCGTACTCTGGATAATAGAATGAGTTGAATAAAGCGAATCAGGCGAGCCGGAACTTTCAAGAAAAGAAATGTTAGAAGCAATAGTTGGCTTAAACGAGAAGACTGACTTCATAGTTTTATCTAAACGACAAAGCTTAAATGGCTAGTATTAACATATTGCATAATACGGATTACAAGACAAATACCCGTTAGCAGAAGAGCATAAGTTTAATATATAGAAAACATATCTATCTATCTATCTATCTATCTATCTATCTATCTATCTATCTCAGTTTATTCATTATCTATCTATCTATCTATCTATCTATCTATCTCAGATTATTCATTATCTATCTATCTATCTATCTATCTATCTCAGTTTATTCATTATCTATTTATCTATTGTATATTTGTTCTTATCTATCTATCTATCTATCTATCTCAGATTATTTATTATCTATCTATCTATCTGTTGTATATTTGTTCTTATCTATCAATCTATCTATCTATCTCAGTTTATTCATTATCTATCTATCTATATATCTATCTGTTGTATATTTGTTCTTATCTATCAATCTATCTATCTATCTCAGTTTATTCATTATCTATCTATCTATCTATCTATCTATCTGTTGTATATTTGTTCTTATCTATCAATCTATCTATCTATCTCAGTTTATTCATTATCTATCTATCTATCTATCTATATATTGTATATTTGTTCTTATCTATCTATCTATATATCTATCTATCTATCTATCTATCTATCTATCTATCTATCGCAGTTTATTCATTATCTATCTATCTATCTGGAAAATTCAGATACCAATTTATTTGGGAGGAAACAATGCAGTAATTGATAGGGAAAGTTCAAATTAATGCATGTAAGATTTCATAACTCTAACATCACTCCTTCATCGTCAGCCTATGAAATTTTCAACCCACCATCTATCTATCTAGCTATCTATCTATCTATCTATCTATCTATCTAGCTAGCTAGCTTTTTTCTTTCCTCTCTATGTATATAATTTTCTTTCTATCTATCTGTTTCATTTTATTTCGGTCTATCTATCTATTAGCTTTTGTGGAGTAAGTCTAAGTGAAAAAATTTTAACATCTGGAATCTTTCTTTACTTTTCCCTTTTCCCATATATATATATATATATATATATATATATATATATATATATATATATATATATATACGATATTTATAGAGTTTTCGGTATTGATATTTATAGAGTTTTCGGTATAGTCTGTCGAGCTCATTGGCAAATGCAAACAATTTCCTACTACGCTACCGGCAATATCAATGCGACTCGAAATACGAAGTACCCAATAACTCTTCACCTAAGTCTGATAACATTTATTTCAAACATAAAAATGGTAGAACAAAAGAATTTATCGAAAAATGGATAAAATAATAAAGAAATGAAAAAGATAAAATAGATAAAAATGAAATATAATAAAATAAAAACAAATAAAAAAATTAAAACAGAGCTCAAGTTTCAGAAATAAATAAGATTAGTCCTAAACAAAAACTGAAAGAAAAGGAAGGTTTTCAATTTCTCACACTTCTCATGAAACCATGGTGGCCTACTAGTAAACCCCACAGTAACATATGGTCTGATGATCGATTAATGTGTGTGATGTGCAGTAACATATGGTCTGATGATCGATTAATGTGTGTAACTGATAATATCTATATAATGTTGATATCTATCTATCTATCTATCTATCTATCTATCTTATTTATTAATCTATCTTCTTCTTCTTCTTCTTCTGCTTATTATTATTATTATTAGTAGTAGTAGTAGTAGTACTAGAATGACCCGTGCAAATTTCACGGGTTTCCTATTTCCATATACTGATGAATGGTAAATCTTAAGATTTTCTTAAGTTCATGGCGAGTTCTAGAACAAGAAAATATTCGTAAAAATTCTCCTATAACATCGTTAAATAGTTGAGCTTAGAAACGTTATCAAAATATTCAAATAACAATCGTAAATATGAGTACTGGTCGTTAATTTAAGAAGTAAGGGGTACGAATGAAAAGATTTGAAACTGACAAAATTTTTTTCATTTTTTTTCTATCTTCATTATATTTCTTTCTTTTATTTCTCTTCTCACTGAAACCAAGTAGCACCTCTGATATTCGTTTAGATAATCAAAACGGAATAATCCATTATTTATGAGTAATTGGCAAGAGACGTTAAACACTTCTATCGTCCCATCTTTTTTTCCTTTCTTTCTTTTTCTCACTGAAACCAACTTTTGTTTTCCCCTCTTTCGACGCAGTCAAAACGGAATAGTCCATTACTTATGAGGTATTGGCAGAACGTAACTGTCGTGTGAACTAACGAAGCGGGCCGAGCACAATTATAATATGATTATTATTCCATATAAAGAATAAATCGGAAACGAAGTGCTTCAAATATACGAGTGCTTTTACAAATGCAATCACGAAAATAAATCCCTACTACGCTACCGACAAGCACAACATGACTCAGAATGCTAAACATTAAGTAACCGATACCCTAAATCGAATCAATTTCATTTCATATTCCAAATAAATTAATAAATAAAATAAAAAATAAATAATATGAAGAAACTCAAAGGAAGTAACAGAAATATTCCAAACTATTCGACATAAATTGTCCTCCATTTTGTTTTGTAAACACTTCCTCCATTTACAACCACAGAAACAGAGAGATTAGTCATATGAACGTCACACAGAGACAACGGACTCCATGTCGTGTGTAGTGGAAGTTTAAATATCCTCTTTACAAATGCCTTCCCAACTCATAATAGATTAAGTGCACAAGCAGTTTTTGAGCGTTCTCAGAATTTTTAACTTCCTATTTCAGGATAGAATAAGGACTGTCGAACCATTTGCAGTTAAATGTATTCTTCTTGGAGATGATATCAAATGCCAATCAGGTCCGAAAAGGATCAAATTCGAATTTACCGTTGGCGCATGATTAACAAAACCTTTGATATAACTTAGAATATGAGAAAAACAATATCAACATATTTCTTAACGTGAATTCCCATATTTGGTGATAGAAATATATAAAATGATTCGAGATTACAAGATATGGTTATCAAAGCAATATAAGAGAAACATATATGAAGAATCTGATGCTACATGTAAAGAGGCAATATAAAAATGAACAAAAAATTAGTAATAATAATAATAATAATAACAAATCTACTGCAGTAATTGCTTATTTTAGCGTGATAGGTGAAATGTTAAAAAGAATTCCAACATTTAATGTGAGGTAGGTGCCGAAAGTTATCATATTGAGAGTTAATCAACAATTTCATACATTTTTTGCCGAATTAGAGAGATGATAGCTATGCTGCCTGGAAACTTTAATTCATCGACTAGGAATTAAATTCTATCTATCTATCTATCTATCTATCTATCTATCTATCTATCTATCTATCTATCTATCTATCTAACTATCTAACTATCTATCTCCGTTAATACCTAGCTAGAAAGATCTTGTCATATCTGTTTAACGATCAAGCTTTCTACTTTTCTATGTTTATATCTGTCGGTCTATTTATCTAATTATCATTCAAGTTTCTTTCTTTCTCTGTTTATATCTAACAGTTTCTGTTAATATATATCTCACAAGTTAGCTATCTATCTATCTATCTATCTATCTATCTATCTATCTATCTATCTATCTATCTATCTAGCCTCATCATTATCTATCTATCTATCTATCTATCTATCTATCTATCTATCTATCTATCTATCTGGCCTCATCATTATCTATCTATCTATCTATGTTCATATCTGTTTCGGTTAATACATATCTCACAAGTTAGATATTCATATACGTCTGTCAATATCTACCTATCTTATATATATATATATATATATATATATATATATATATATATATATATATATATATATATATTTAGCTACTTCTGGTCTATTAATATCTGTATATCTATCTATCTATCTATGTTCATATCTGTTTCGGTTAATACATATCTCACAAGTTAGATATTCATATATGTCTGTCAATATCTACCTATATTTATATATATATATATATATATATATATATATATATATATATATATATATATATATATTGGTACTTTTGGTCTGCTAGTATCTATCTATCTATCTATCTATCTATCTATCTATCTATCTATCTATGTTAATATCTAACGGTTAATTATCCATATATCTAGCTAGCTAGCTCTCTTCATATCTATCTGTGAATAACTATTGAGCTCGTCAGCTTGCTAGTTATTATCTATCTGCCTTTTTATATCTCTCTAGGTAGCTAACTATGTCTGTCCATATCTATCTGTCTATCTATCTATCTATCTCTCTATCTATCTATCTATCTATCTATCTCTCTCTATATATATATATATATATATATATATATATATATATTCTCGTTTTTCTCTCGTTCTTTTCCTCACACCCTATTAGGAAACGCACCATTGCACATTCACTCTCATGTCAAACACATTTATAAAATTTGAAACGTGTATATAATTCGACGTAGGTGTGTCTGAAACCGATTATGCGCATTCAATACATGCGCGTGCATTTCAAACCCTGACTGCAGGCGCTGACGTGCCTATCTCATCATGATTTTTATTGCACTATTGTTGAAAGCAGCTGGCTTAAGTCTTGAAGCGGCAGCAAATAGTTTAATAGTTACAGTGGTATCAAGTACTACCATTAAATCACAGGCTGTAACTCGAATATCGTATGAAGTAAAATCGGCGAATAGAATGATTGCTGCAAAAGAAGGAAAGAAATCGCTTTCAAGCTAATGAATGGAAAAGAAGAGGAAGAAAATGAGTAAGAAGGAGAAAAAGATCCAGAGATGTTCTATGAAAGAAAGAATATGGAAGTATATTGGAATGAACGGCTTTAGAAGAAAAAAAAAGGGAAGATTTATTGCAATGATAGGAAAAGTTTTCGTATGAGCATATGTAATGAGAAAGGTCGCTAAACTAGACCGAAAAGGGAGGGACTAAAACAAAAGGAAATCGTAATTTTATTAGTAGCAGAATTCAAGAATCTCTCTAATATGTGTTAATAAGGCAGCTCAAACGAAGAAAAGATAAAGGAAGAGGAACAAGAGACTGGCCGGTGTAAAATGGATGAAAAGTGAAAAGCATCAGAATGTAATATAAAACATTATATAATATCTAAACGTAATTTTAATTGAAGGATAAGAAAAAATATAACTCGAAGGAGGAAAAGAGTAAAGCACAGAATATTCCTGGTAATCGAATAAAAAGAAAAATGAATGAGAGAAGGATCTAATATGGCGAACAAGATTCAGAGAAGGAGGAGGTACTGAACAAAGAAGAACAATCAAAAGAAGGAGTTATATAAAACAGGAAGAATACGTATCAACAAACAAATGAAGACACAAACAAAAGAAAAAATATATATACAACAGTAATAAAGAACTCGAATTAAAAGGAGATATATAAAAAAAAGAAAATCGATGAAAAGACGAAGACGCAGCAAAGAGGAATACACTGCTATGAAGATGAAGAAGAGGTCGCTAGTAAGATGGAGACGTATCGTACGAGAAGTAGAATGGTCAAGTATAAAAGAAGAAGAGGAGAAAACGTAGCTAAAACCGAAGAATAAATGGTGCCTGTTTCTAAACGATCGTACATAAAAGAAGGAAAGTTAAAATAGAATCGATCTACGGAAAGAGAATAGCACAGAAGTAAAAGATGAAAAAGTGAATGGTGTTTGTTTTCGGCAGATTTTAAATGGAATATATAAGGACGAGAAGATTTTGGAAAGCAACATGGCATCTCAGAAGAGAAACGAAAAAAAAAAAGAATGATACAAATGAACGACGTAGAAAAATATAGAAAGTAGGAAGATGCTGGAAATATGTATAACAAGAAAAATGAAATTAAAGAGAAAGAAAAAAAAAAAAAAAGAATGAAGAAGCAATGCTTTGGAGAAGGAGAATAA